TTAAATGGTACCAACATGGCCGCGATGACGTAACATGCAAAAGAAGAAGAAGAAGAAGAAAAAAGAAAGTTTGTAACTTTATCGATAAACAGTTTCATTAAGCTCAGAATATATTTGAGTACATTCAGTAAGGTTTATGTAGAGTGCAAGCAATATAACCGTGAAACGTTAGTAATACTAAATAGCACAATTTCATGCAAATTCCATTTTTTTTAATTGTTTCATTAGAACTATTTTGTACTATTTAGTAATTAGTGTTTCACGGATTAGTTGTTTGCACTCTATCTTGAAGCCACCATCGTTAATTTACGTTGGTTCTATAAATATTTAAATACAAACAGGTTTAGGCTTTAAAAATAAATTATTGGTTGAACGGCTAAGCGTGTAAAAGTTCCTGTACGTGTGGACCAGGGAAGCTCAGTAAATCAGTAAACTAACTCGATTCATAATTTGTCTTTGTGGCTCAACCGTGGAGTTGGTGAGAAACCTATATTTATATAAAGGTTAGTTTATAGCACTGAGCTGCTCAGCAGATACAGTAAAAACCCGGCGAGTAAGAACCTACATTTTTAGAATTAGTCTAAACAGGTTCTTGTTTAAATGGTAGTTAACACAATTTTAGGCTATCTAGGTTCTTAAATAGGTTCTTATTTCTGTGTAAAAACATATAAATGTACTCATGTACACTCACGCTGTAGATTACTGTACATTATATTTCACATGCTGACTTATTGCTGTACAGTTTTTTTCATAATACAATACAATTAATATAAACCTTCCTTCACGTTACATTTTTATTACAGTAATGATGAAAAGGTAAATTATACACCGGGAAAAGATGAAAAAACTTACTGACGTTTCGGACGCTAGTCCTTCGTCGGAGTAAAAGTACTGTTTCATTAGAAACACCGACGCAGCTCACACTAGTTTTTAGCTAGTCAGTATATCTTATTTTTATTACATTACAGCTGTAATTATCTGCCCAGCAATAGCAAGCTCCTGTTTTTCCAAACAAGATTCTTACCCAGCTCTGCATCACTAAATGATGGTTTTTGAAAATAAGAACCTGTTTTTCATTTTCTGGGTTCTTGTTTAAAGGGGGTATAAATGACAAATTTGAGGCTAACAGGTTCTTAATTTTTAGGTCCTTACTCGCGGGTTTTTACTGTAGTTAATGGAAAATTTTTTCCATGATCCAGGATATGGTGCAGTGGTAGGCGCTTTCAAAGTGATCGAAGACTGTATGAGTAGCATAGGTGGCGTACGCTGTGAGAGCAAATTTATATAACCCTTGAAAAAATAGTACGCATAATAGTTAGTAATTGCAAAGGTTCGTTGAGATTGCTCTTATATAGAGTCAACTCATTAAACCCGTGAAATACTTGATTTCTTTTGTTTCTTTTTGACTAATAATTTTTATTTCACGGGTTAAATGCCTTCACTCTAAACTGACGAAGATATAGATGTTTGAATCCAAGTATTTTTGTGAAATTTTTGTAAAGAAATATATGTGAAATACATGAAAAAGAGGCACATCTTCGTCAGTTTGTGGACAATCTCTACGAAACTTTGCGACTTCTATATTATCAATGTGAAAAATTTATAAATCGTAAATTCCTTTTTCCAAGTAGTCAAATATCTTATAATGTCTAGCGTGATATTGGTTTATAGCAAGAATTAAACTAATGAATAGTTTATCTCTAAAAGCATACATTTGTTTGAACGTTGTTTTCTATTTCTTCGTTTTTAATTTTTGAAGTGTGAGAAACCAGAACATTAACTGAAATATGCTGTCTTTTTTTCTTGTTATCTCGTTCTTTCCCAGCCAAATTTGAAAGAAAAAAGAAAGAAAAAAGTGTCGCACATGGAAAGAATAATATTGCTCTACTATTTGCAGGACAGTTGTCATATAGAAATAAAAAATAACAAAATATATACCAAAAGAATTAATTATATTTTGGCAAAGCGCACAGTAGTAAATATCTCACTATTTTGAAAGAAGAGACTGGCATTTTCGATATTTCCTTATTGGAAAGTACTAAAACAGTCAAAACATTAAATATAATTTCTAATTCATTCATATTTTTTATCCTTTATTTCCGGTAATTTTTTTGACAACGTTCTTGCAATTAGGTGTGAGCATTTCGTCATTTGAAAGCTCTCATAAATTATATAAGAATGGAGTTTAGTATCCTTGATATCTCTTTTCGTTGCTGAAATATTCTACATGGAAATTACAAAAAGACGATATCATCAAAGAACTTTGGTAAAGTAAAAAATAAAAACATCGATCAAACAGAGAATCGCATAAATTAGACCAAGACAGCTGAAACTTGTGCTGTTTATATAAAGTGCATGCAGGGTAAAACAACAAGTTTGGTATGTTTGATAGTGTTACCATGAAAACGCTCTCGGAACCAATCTAATTCCTTTTGGAATTAATACTTCTTACTAATTCAGTGCCAGATTTAATTCGAGTACTCTTCACTTGATCATCACAAAATTTACATTTGCAGGTTTGTAACACGTAACCAGAGTTGATTTTAATCCTTCCGTAGTCCCTGACTCAGTAACTTAGTTTGGTTCTCTATGCTGAGAGAGCTTTTTTTTTTTTTTTTAACAGAGAGCATTATGAGTTTTCATCGCCTTCTGCTCACCACGCTCACCATCTTTCAAATTACGACTGTATTTGGAATCCAACGTCTGCCAAACAAAAGAGAGGGCTCCTTTGGATTAGTTAAAGGTAGGATGAACTAGAGAGGTTTTATTTAATCCATAGAAAATATGCTATCACTAGTTCGTGGTACTAAAAAAAACTAAAAAAACAACAACAACAAACAAACAAACAAACAAACAACAACAACAAAACAAAAAATAAAAATAGAAAAATAAAAATAAAGAAGAAGAAGAAGAAGAAGAAGAAGAAGAAGAAGAAGAAGAAGAAGAAGAAAACAATGGGTTTTGAGTCTACTTCTATTACTCGCAGTAATTTTTCTCGATTTAAATAAAACCACCCTATAAAGAATAACGGAAACCGATATACGTATTTCTTTTAAGACTTATGTGGTGAAGATCATAAAATCTGAAACGTCCAATGACACTGACAATGACAATCTAGAGAGCTTCGCTTACAATCAAGGTATTAAGAGAGTGAATTCTTTTCGTATTCAAGCAGTGAACGCCAAAAACTATTTTCTTGAAGAAAGGCTGTTGTACGAGACTAAAATCTTGTTATTCAGAGTTTAACTTGTTTGGATGAGTGGAGATGACCGATGAAAGTGGAATCAAAGTGTTAACCCAAAGCAAACATTTTACTCGAAAATGAGGCATTTGCTCATTTCCCATATATTTTCTATAAAAAAGCCTGACAAAGCTACATTCTAACATAAATGCAACAAAACATCTTTGTACAATTAAAAATACCGCTTCAAACAAGCATTTTATCATAGTACATCAGTTTCTAACTGTTTAAAAAAGGTTTCGAGTGTTAACCCAAAACGAAAATTGGGATCAAAACTCATACGAAAGTCTAGTTTTTGGCGCTTTTTGCCATCATTGCTCGTTATTGAAAAAAATTCCTCTTAATCATTTAAGGAGGCTGTGGGTAGTTTTGGTCTGGCATACCTAGCCGCATTGAAACGGCTACAACTTCGCCAAATAAATATTTTAGTGTAAATGTCTGTAAATTCGATTCCTGCATGTCTAAAGTTAGTCTCCCCCCACAGCCGCTTTCAGTGTCGCCACGCAACGCTTTCTCCCGTCTAAAGTGAGCTTGATAAATCTTTGGCCGCCATCCTAGCTGGTGGACCAAATTAGTCCTATCAGCGAGTTTTCGCCATGTATTTGCAGGTATTTATATCAATGCTCTAATAATCCAATTTCTTGCTCAGAGTAGAGAATACCTCTGTGAGAATTAGCTCAAAATGACTGAGATTTTTGGTGGCCATAGTGCACTATAACCAACGTAAGATTCGTGCATTTGAAGTTATTATCACAGAGATAAAAGAAAATAAGTACGGGCCATTCTTGTTTATTTTATAAGGGCTATACGAATCAGGAAGAGATCCTGTAGGTTTTGCGACAGTCACTTTAATCCCCAGGTCAAGTCGAACTCCACCTATTCGTTAAACCATCTGTTTTAGATTTTTATTTAGAAAACTACTGCAATCGCATTGTTACTGAAATGCAATTTGAAAACTTTGTAAGAAATCTGTTTTAATTTAAATTTAACGCTGTTTCAAAATCAATAAAAAAAGGTGGGTTTTCCGAGCTAATTTTCGAGATGATAAAATTGAAATATTAATATAAATAAAAATTCAAATGAAAATTTAAAAAACGAATTTTTGGGGAAAAAATGGCTGATTATGGGATGAGAGGAAATTAGGCTCTCAGCGGGTGACAATAGCTATTGCTTGTACTTAACAAATACGCCCGTTCGAGAAAGATTAATGAAAAATACCACGCGCATTTAATGCAAGTAGTTTGATACCACAAGTGCGTAGCACTATACTTAAGAAAACTTGGTAACCCATGAAGTTGATTTTTGATGGCTTGACTACTACGTCACTTCCATTCGTACGTACGTACGTCCGTGTACACAACACAGGAATCCCGCTTGATGCCAAAAGAGCAAAACTACTCGCAAACCCGGCTCTCAGATGCACAGAAAAAGCATTGCTTTGGGACAAATTTAAGTCACTTTCAACAAAACCAAGTGGTATTTTACATTAATTTTTCGAGAACCAAGGTGGTGTTTCCTTTTAATAATATATCTATGTTTAAAAACACCTATTTCTGAAGTAAAAAAAATTGATAGCAAATGACAATTCACTCCAATTTTGCATTTCAAACAACAAAACACGGTAAACTGATTCACGTAGTGCAATTAATTTATTATATTGCACAGTTTAAAAAAAATTCACGGCCAATGGACCAATCAGAAACCCTGAAGTATTTTACGTCGATGTGTTAATTAATTAGGAAAATGGCTTTTGGAAATTTGTCAAAATTTCACACCCAAGCTGGAACTTTTTCAAATATTTTCTCAAAATAGTTCTCCTTTACTATAGATTGTTTTAGTGGAAAAAAATCAAACTCGATTTTTCATGACTAATTCAAGATTCAATTTTTGAGATAAAAGTGGCCGTTTACAAGATACCGGACGCATGCGTATCAGACATTTCAAGCTCGAGCTCGTTCTGTGAATTTTTCTCGTGTAAACGTGGTGTGAAATTTCATTCTCGTTGCGGAACGAACTCATTTCGGTATCATGTAAACGGCCCCTTAGTAAAGGTACAGACACAGGTTTCAACACTGCGCGCGGATGGACTACTTCGATGATGCGGCGGCCATCTTTAATCACAAGGCATTGTGGGTCATCCATGGGGCAAATAGACAAAGCTTTGTTACAATAATGGCATCGATTGACATTTACGGTTCAAAACAAGATAATTTGACAAGAGATGAATTAAAATCTTTGTTTTGTTTTGCCCCCTGGGTGACCCATAATGGTCACCGCATCGTCGAGGTAGTACATTGCTGTTTGTCCACCTTTGAAACTTGTTGCGCACAACATTTCAAGAGCTGAATCATGCTCTACTTTCGGCGCAATTTGAACATGGCGGCGGCGACACGAGTGAAAAACGTCTGCGCATGCTCTGAATCTGTATGCAAATTAGTCAAAACATAAGTAAATTTGACTTTCAAACGTGCCTGATAAATTGGACTTCACAAAATGCCAAAACTTAGTGTTCATGCTTGAAACTTAAGGCTAATTCTTTGATATTGTGCTTCTTAATACAGTATCTTGGTCTGACAAAAGTATACTCTCGAACTTTTTAGTATACTTGGAGAAAACATTTGTTTTCTCTTTCAAACTCTTCAAAATTCTTAGAAAACGTGCTAAAATGCACGCATGCGCTAAAGTTTTTCCCTAGTGTCGGCGGCGGCAACATTGCGCGCAATATTTTGAAATTCAGTCTCAGCTAATTCGTTTGCACTAAAACGAAAACCAATGACCATAAGACTTAGTATAGCAAGCGTGGTTATCGATGGAAGACGCCAGCCATATTGGCACAATTTTGCGCGATGTTGCTGAAACAGAAAACGTGCAGTCATCTGTGTACCCAATATCTTTCATGCCTATCTTACAACTACAAAGTGATGTCTGTCGGGAGATTGGATCGGTGTGAGCTGAACAACGCTACCAGGCAGTCGGTCCCAGATTCTTATATTGATAACCCACTCTACAACCACTACTACGATCTGGATACAGAGGTAACTAACTGATAGACCTTACATACACCGGCTATTTCAAAAACCATTGTCATCGCCAAAGGCGATAGGCGATATGTCATTCCGACATGGAAATGGTTTCGTTGACTACGAACAACATTGAATTAGTCTCAACACTAAGGTTCATGTTCTTGACGAGAATAAAAAGTAGAAACAAAAGTCATTCCAGCTATTCTTGGGCCTTTGAATGACCTATCTCCTATTTCTTTTCAAATCAATAAACTTTCCCTGCTAGCAGAGTCTCTCCTCTCTTTCCCTTCTTTCAGGCGGGGAGGAAGGAGACTGCCGATGTAGAGCGTTTCCTTTGATACACCGCCGTCCACGATTGTGGACGAACAAAACCAGTTTTTAACCAATTACACGTAGTGCGCATGAGCAAATGTAACACACCGTGGCGCCAAACGTTGTTTGACGAGAGCGGCTGTCGAAATCATGACAGCGTTGCTAAGTTACGCCACGCATGCGCGACAGAAATAACGTCCTACATCGGCAGAGTCTATTTTTCTCTCTCAACCAAAACAAAAGGAAAATAGGCTCAGCTAGCAGGGAACAATAAACTGAACAATCATCAGAAAAGGGAGGTCGATTTATATAAACTGAGAATTTTTAAATAGAATTTGAAAGGTGTCATGGATATCAAAAGAATCAGTATAGACCTTTGTATGCAGCACAAATTATTCTCTCGATAATATTCCCTTTCACAGTTCCCTGCGTCGTCATGAAAGGCAGCCGTGCCTTTACATCCAAGGAAGACGAACGGTGAGCTTGCAGTGAAGAGACCTTATTTAACACCTTGAAGTGCGAGGTACTCCTTACGCGAAGAAGTTGTCCAACTCAAAAAAATCCTCGTATTCCAAAGTCTCTTCGAGTTGTTTGGACATCGATAAAAAATCCAAACCATTAAAGACATTAATTACATAAATAAAAACTACAATCGAGTTGAAAAGCTAGAAAAACGAAAGATAAAGTCGCTGATATGTCGAGTTCACACTTTGTTTTGATGCAAATATACTGTTTGGCCGCGCGCTCGTCCCAGTAGATTTGCACCCTTTACAAAATGGCGGAAATAACCTTGGATCGGCAGATTATTCACGTCTTAATCATTGCAAGCTCACGGTTCAGCTGGTTGGAATTCAGCGTGTCGAAATTGTAGAGGGAGGAAATTCGGAGAACCTGGAGAAAAAACTCGAAGAGTACGTCCTTCAAACTCTACTGACATTAAATAACGGGAAAGATCATCTAAAATTATCCTGCCCAGATCATGTAATTGCGCTTTTTGATGACTACAAAAGTCTTAAAGAGAACTCATTACATTTTCCCCACGACAAATTTCTTTTTTGATGTGTGTTTTTGAATATTTCCAGACTTCAAGATCGTGTCTGGATTACCTTCGATATGGCGCAACAAGAAATGGAATCTATGACATAACGGACATCAGTGGAGATTCCTATCCAGTTTGGTGTGATGTCACCTCTGAACCACGTTCAGCATGGACCCTCATCATGTCCCATGCATTTCGTAACAAAGATCAGCAAGCTTTTTGCCGGAAAACTTTAACCGAAGACGTTCCAGTCAACCAAGACAACCCGAATTGGGAAGCCTATCGACTGTCGCTGCGTCGCATGCAGTTCCTATTCAACCAATCAACGCACTGGCGAGTGACATCGAGTTCGTACAAATATGGCGTTGATTTCCGCGATTATGTAAGAGCCAGCCTCTCAGCTTTCGACATATTGAGCTATCTTGGTCGTGGCGAATGTAAGAACGTCGAATATATTAATATAAGGGGAATCAATGCTTCTTTTACCACTGTGCCCTTTTGGCAATCACTAGCTTCTCCAGCCGACATCTTGCACACTGATAGTTCCCTTAACCCCTGTGCCTTTGATGCAAGACAGGGAGCTGTTGCTAGCGAAAATAATTTTGGATTGCTTTGCATAGATACCAATCCTGCCTTTAGAGCCTCTGAGAGTGCTGATAGCACTAATGAACATTGGATGGGAGGATATTTGTAAACTTGAAGAGATCCATGGCATACTATTTCATCAGTGATCGCTCAGTGCACATATGCATGCAGTCTTACTTTTAAAATGCATCAAATAGCGACTCTTAAAGTGGCGTAGCGAGAATAACGGAGTTGGAGGGACGTGCACACGTGTTTTGGCGCGGAAAATCCCCGCCAAATCCACAGGTAGCCCCTCAAAATAGGAAAAATGAAAAATTGGGATTTTTTTGCTGGAACACTCTGCTCGTTACGCCCCTGTACACTGATGTTCAGTTTAACACAACTTCAGTTTTTAAGGGGTAGGGTCACGTGATCTGTTGTTGCAAAAGGCCTCTTATGGGGCAAAACGTTAATTTTCACGGTTTAATTTTGATCGTGTGGGGTGTTCATTTTTGCATGCAGAAACATATCAAGGAAACAACGTTAGATTAGCAGATTCAAGACCTCTTTCGATTGTACTCAGTCTACGTAATTAGATAGCCAATGTGAAGTCATTAGTCTGTAGTATATTAAGAGGAAATTTTTTTCAACAATGAGGAATAATGGCAAAAAGCGCCAAAAACTAGACTTTCGTATGAGTTTTGATCCCAATTTTCGTTTTGGTTAACACTCAAACCTTCTTTAAACAGTTAGAAACTGATGTACTATGAGAAAATGTCTGTTTGAAGCGATATTTTCAATCGTACAAAGATGTTTTGCTGCATTTGCGTTAGAATGTTGCCTTGTCAGGCTTTTTTTATAGAAAATGTATGGGAAATAAGCAAATGAAGGCCTAAACCTCATTTTCGAATAAAATGTTTGCTTTGGGTTAACACTTTGATTCCACTTTCATCGGTCATCTCCACTTCCAAACAAGTTAGGCTTTCTGAATAACGAGATTTAAGCCTTGTACAACAGCCTTTCTTCAAGAAAATAGTTTTTGGCGCTCACTGCTAGAATACGAAAAGAATTCTCTCTTAATATGCATAACGGAGGTTGCCAAGCCAAGATGGCGTGTTAGATGTTGGGTTTAGAATAAACAAGTTTCGATCCACTTCCATCCTGTGTCAATATACTATAGCCACAACAAAAAACTTCAAGTTATTCAGTTTCGCGAAGTTAATTGTACCTTAAATTTACAGCAACATAAGAATGTCAAATTGAGCTGCCCCTAGTATTATGTCTTTTTTCTGCAGGACCGCATGTAGAATTTATATTGATTTGCCAAAAGCGCTTGGCCAATTTATTTTCTTTCTTTCAGTCTCTTCCCCACCGTTTTAGCGTCGCACTTCGACGACTGAATGCGACTTTAGAGACGGACCATCAGATTTTTTGAGTGGGGAGGGGGGGGGGGGGGGGGGGGGGGGGGGGGGGGG